TATGGCCATGTGCCGTGAGACCCACACAGACCCAAACAACCAGGTCACTCCCTGTCTGGTGCCCATCACAATGTCATTTCACCTACTCATTCCTCCCTGTAGCTCGACGCAAAGTCGAGAACAGCAGATTCCCTTGGACCAGTTGAAATAGCCAGTGGATGAGACAAATATTTTATCATTTATATTTACAGATTATACAGTAATGGGAGTTTTATCTTGAAAAATAGTGGCATTTCCTTGCCATCTGAAAAAGACATAGTGTTAAAAGTGCATTGGAGGGGCGCCTGGGTGGCTCGGTTGATTAAGCGTCTGCCTTTGGCTCAGGTCATGATCGAGGGTCCTGGGATCGAGCCCTGCGTTGGGCTCCTTGCTCAGCAGGAAGCCTGCTTCTCCCACTCCCTCTGCAGGTGCTCCCCCTGCTTGTGCTCTCTCTCTGTCAAATAAATAAATAAAATAAAATTTAAAAAGTGCATTGGGATTTTTAAAAAAAGATTGAGAGACGGCATGAGCAGGGGGAGGGGCAAAGGGAGAGGGACAAGCAGACTCCCTGCTCAGTGGGGCTCTATCCCAGGACCCTGAGATCATGAACTAAAGTCAGGCGCTTAACTAACTGAGCCACCCAGATGCCCCTGGATTGGGACTTTTAAAAAGAGGTCTCTTGGTACAAGAGTCAAGGTTAGCATATAATTACGCATCATTTGGAAAGTACTCTTCCAACATCAAGCTGCCCAGAACACTCACCAAACTCCTCCTCAGCTGCTGCTTTTTCTTATTCTTGGGCTCTCATCTTGAATACCAGCTCCTGAGCTGAGCTTTCTCAGACCACTCTATGCAGGGAGCCCCCACCCCCTGGTTGATTTGTTTCAATTACCTATCTCCCCTGCTAAACAAAAGCTCAGTGATGACAGACACTTACCTTATAGTCCCAGGACCTCCATCAGGGATTGGTTCAGAGGAGGGGGCACCGCAACCATTTGCTGGACAGAGTGAAAGCAGGCAGGCAAGCAAACGGGGTATCAGAGGCTGCAGAGTTAGGGCCCGAGAGGCGGGCGGGTCCAATTCTTCATTATGGGAAGACAGCAGGTGATAGTGATCTTAGGAATGATCACAGAAACAGACGGGGGAAAGCGAAGGATCCTGAGTGAAAAAGTTCACTTCGTCCTTTCTAATAACCCAGCCATTTAGATGATTTGAGCATATGAAATTAGGAGTAAAGTGACTGCCATGTACCTCAAAGGAAGGAAAATGGATCGTGCCATGCTTGGTAGAAAGTACAGGAAGGCCTGAGGTGGGCAGAAATTTGATGTCATTAGATGGACCCCTCCCCGCCCACCTCAAGCAAGCTTGCCTCTACTTCCCTAATGTGCTACTTCACCATCTGCAGATTCCTCAAGATGGGACCCAGGAAGTCACCCTGCAGGGGGCTGACAACCACAGCCAGAGCCTAACAGTAACCATTCAGCTTTGCCTACAGTTGGAAGAAATGAGAAACACAGAGTTTTAGAAAGAAATGCCTAGAAGAGCAGGAAGAAGATACCCCCAAATTGGTCGACATATCTGCATATGGAACAAGGCAAAAACAATGGCAGGACATAGCCAGAAGGCTGAGGAAAAGCCGCTGAATCTGGGAGAAACAATGTGACAACGTTGGTCCCCCCCCACCCCCTGGTCCAGGGTCAGATAGTCCAGGCTATCTCCCTGGTTCTGAGCAAAGGGCACCGCAGCAATAAAGTGCAGTGAATCACAGGCGCTATTTTTAACATGCGAGCCATCCAGCTCCTCTCTGCTCTCCGACAGGCTATCTGGCTCCCCCAGGGGACTGCAGCGGGGACAGGGGGCTGTGGCGGGGGCAGGGGACCGCGGCCGGGCAGGGGCGGGCAGTGAGACCGTGAATCTGCAGCAGGACGCGGGCAGACACAGAGCCACACCCTAGAACCTAGTCCACCCCTGCCCCATAACTGAGAGCAGAGGGCTCCAACTGGGGGAGCCCAAGACAAGACTGCGAAGTCCTATGGAAAGAGCTTTTCAGAAAAGGATGTTTGGAAGTGTTGCTGTGCTTAGGTCATCTCTTGGCCAAGAAACATGTAAACGTTGCTCAGTCTTAGAGATGCTTTTATAACTTGCTCAAAACTTTCCAAATGAAGAGTTTGAGTGCTTTAAAGTCCTTGGTTAAAAAAAAACAAAAAACATAAAACTGTAGCATGTTTCGGTTAGTTTGCATTAGTCAGCCATGAGAGAAGATGGAAATTTACTAGCTGGATTTCAACAAACACCTGTGCATAATTGGTGACTAAAAGTGAATTAATGACCAGCAGTGCCCTTCCTCCATTTAGAATGTGGAAGCCATCTTTTTCCAGCATTAAAACCAACAATCAAACTAGGCTGACCTTGGGAACTGACATCTGTATTATTGTGTCACTGTCTTAAAAATGTTTTTAAAATGATCAGGGGTTCATTGTTCTCCTTAGAAACACTAGAGGGGCACCTGGGTGGTTCAGTCAGTTAAGCTTCTGCCTTCAGCTCCGGTCATGATCTCAGGGTCCTGGGATCCCACTGTACGTCCGAGGCTCGCGCTCAATGGGGAGTCTGCCCCTCCCCCCATCTCATGTGCACACTCTCGTGCTTGCTCTCAAATAAATAAATAAAATCTTAAAAAAACCCATAGGAGATCAACATTTTAATCAATATTTTTAAACTATTTTGTTTCAACTCATTTAGATTTTCCATTTCCTGATAAAACTTACTCATGTACAAGGTGTTTTAATATGCACAGAGTGGTATAAATTCAAAATTTGCTAATAAGAGTTCACAACCAAAATGGTTGGTTATTCAGTTCAGAGACATAAAGGCAGATACTATGAAGCCTGGATACAAAAATATTGTTCCTCATCTTTTATCAGTGTCAAATTGTCCAAAGAACAACTGTTGTGGTTGCTCCATAGCTCTTCCACTTCCCTAATCATGCTAATCTTTTCCAAAGATGGCAGCAAAAAACTTGACATAAATGGAAAGTTTCGCTTCTGTAAAACCAAAGGGAATTCTGTGTTGTTTTAAAAACATTACAATGCAAGGGTTTTCAGTCTCAAGGTAAAAAAAACAATTATCAGCTGCAAACACTGTACCTAATTTAGACCCTGGTGAAGTAGGATTCCTCCACGTCCTTGTCCACAAATAGGAGTGAGCTGGAGAGCGCCCCACCCCCCTTGGCTTTAACTCAAGGCCCCTGAGATGTAGGAGAGAATCTGATCTGGGCTTCCTACTGACACAGATCATCCTTGTGAGAATGAAGCAGACCTTCGTTGCTCTGCATCGTGCTTGAGGTCACCAGAAATGATTTCCAAAAATCACGGGAATTAAAGGTGGGTGGTGTGGACTCTTAGGCAGTCAGAGACTGGGGATCTAACTCCGATCCTGTAGCTAACGATTAGGTGATCTTGAACATCATCTCACTCAGTGTTCTCCTCTATCAAATGAGGTTTTCTAGTAGGTTTTCCTAGTAGGAAATAGAAGGTTCCCTGCAGCTTTCCCAGTCCAAGATTATTTTGAGTCATTACAAACCCCGAAAGTAGAATCAACGTAAAGACAATGTGGCCTGTAAATTATTTTTACCACATAGAGTTTCTAGATCTTAATCTGCAAAACATTTGGTGACACCTGACAGAGGCGAGCAGAGGAAGGGGGCGGCGGTCCTGGATGCCGTCACACTCTCGCCTCCGGTACCGACTGCACCATCAGTGATTTTCAAAGTCAAAGTCAATCCATGAATCTGAACGCTACGGATCTCTGACCACAGATACTTGGATGGAGGGCCAGGCAGTTTCCAAAATCAAGTACAGTAGTTTGTACCATGCCAACTTGGTTAAGCCAGAACTACCTTTGCCAGAGTCCCCTCCCCTGGCGGTTCTAAGTCAGACATGGTTCAAAGACATGCTTGTGTGAGATCTGGAAGGCAAAAGTGAAGCAAGAGCCATTTTTCTCTGAAGGTCAAGGTAGTCAAAAGTGACAGACAGAGGCGCCTGGCAGGCTCCAGCTTATCGTCCTTCTCCTCTTCTTCTTCTCAAGTGTTGATCTTCATATTGACCCGGAGTGGCCCCAGGCCCACCACCGGACACCTGGCTGTAGAATCACAGAGGTGGTCACGATATGGCAGCAAGAGCTTCCCACAGAGCTCCTTGCACGCCACCTTGCCCAGGCCCACTCTGGCATCCGAATGTGTTCTGCTTCTCAGATGGACCGACCGGTGACTCCTCTTGACTCAAGTACCTTCCTCCGCAACCTCATTTCCCCAGCTCCTTACACACACGGCCCTGTTTGGTCCAATCCCCATAGCACTCGGAACAACTCTTCTCCCCTGATTCACCAACCAAACCAAACACTGGACACAGTCATGCTATCCATACCTAACTCCTAAGAGGGGACTGGATGTTACTACACAGCACTGAGTTCTATTTTATAGATCACATATGTATTACACAATTTAAAAACATATGGGTATGTAATAGTGTGCTTCCTGAGGGCTCATAATGTCCTAAGTCTAAGAGAACATAAATGGCATCAAAGACAACCTTCAAGTGCACACGTGTGTGCAGGTGCATACAGTTGGATGCTGGAGAAAAACAGAACATGAAATTTACTCGGTTTAAGAATCTTCCTCTGCAAATCCTCACACAGTCATGCGAATTGGCTCTCTGGATGTTTCTTTCCCTGGCTAAGTCCCACACAGGCTGAGCCTCTGTCTGACCTGTACCTGCAGGCTTGTGCGACCTCCCAGCACCAGCTCCCTGCACCTGATGCGGCGCGAGACTCACCCTCCTGCCGAGGTGCTACAGTGTAACTAGCACTTGGGTAACAATACTGGAAATACAAGGTGCCAATACCTCAAATGGCTTCACTGCTGGTTAGGGAATATTCACACTCTGACCCACTGGTGCTCATGAGGCATTCCCTTACCTGGGCTGAAAAGCAAAAATCCGAAGTTTACAAGTAAAACAGACACCATAAAAGTGTGGGCACAGATTTATTGCTGTCTCATTTATTATTTAATACAGAGTCCATGTTTTCTGAGTAATGGTAATAAGATGTCCAAAATTCAACATTATTAAACATTCAAACAGCAAAATAGGTAGAAAGAAGCCCTCAAATGTTAACTCCTCTATCTGGTGGGACAACTCGGGATGGAGGCTACTGCGCTGGTCATCTTGATTTGTGAGGAGAACCGCTACCCTCCGACACGGGGTCCGGGAGAGCCCCAGATGTTGGCCAACCGTGAGGCACCGGGGAGAGCGCGTTTGTCACCCTTGGACACGTCTGGGGAGACCTGCGACGACTTCCAGTGTGAAAATCCTTCCTTTGACCTCAGGCTGAAAGAGATGCCTACTGCTGAGAGGGTCACAAGAAGGCCCTGTGGACTAGGGCGGACTACCATGACGAAGGCCAGAGCGATCCTGCTGTCAGAAAGGGCCCATCCGGAGAGCGCTCGTGCAGAGGCCTCACCAGGGCCCCGACGAGGCCACGCCAGCCACCAGCGGCTCTCTGCTTGTTGAAGGCCCAGGGTTCTCATCCTCCCGAGGGAAGGGGTCTCCGTGGTGTGAGTAATGTTCAGAACACACTTCCCAGCTCTGAAAAACTGCGCTCAACTGCCATCTATCTGATTGCGATTTCAGGCTGATGGCTTTTTCCAAAGTCCCAGGATCTCTGGCACCCATGACCCATGACAATCCTGATGCACCTGGCTACTTCCGTAGGGAACACAACTCCCAAGGGTGGACACTCAAAGGGACTCACAGCTGCTTTGCATCACACAACAGCAAAAAGAAATACCCGGCTCTAAGAGGGTGACGAAAACCCACAAAGAAATAAACATCTCAGAGTCTAAAAATGCAGGTCGCTCACTAGCAACACTTGGTTTGAGCCTAAAAACTGGTGATTTACCCATAAAACATTTATCTACAATGACTTTGATTGATACTTAAGGACCAAGTAAAAAATGAAAACTATTTTTTTAAAAAAGACAAACTTCAGTAAATACCCAGGAGAGTGCTAAATTCAAGATGTCCTAATGGTTCTCTGGGGCTTCCGTGGCCAAAACAGACAGGGGCAGGCTGCATGGCCTGCTGGGGACCAGAGGGTGTGGTCCCACAAACCCGCCGTGGAAGACCAATGGACCCACATCTGAGCCAGAGGACTCATCTAGAGCCCTCCCGGCCCTTGCACTTCCACAGGACTAACTGACCTTTGCAAGCACAGTGATGCTGAATAAGGAAACAACAAGGAAACATGAAGGTGCGTTTATTCACATCCATGCCACCTAAACCTACTGGGTACAGTAAAAGGGACTAAAGAAGGGACGAATTGCAACCTAAACAACAACAAAAACACTGGGCCCTCCGTCCCCATGACTTGCAAGTTCTAGTTCAGAAGTCTGCATGCTGGCAAGCCAGCGTCCTCCCTGAGAAGCACGCGTCATGCCTTGTTCTCTTCCTCTGGCATCCTCTGGCATCCTCTGTCCCTCTCAGTTAAGGCCTGGACAGTGCTAGGACGGGGCCGCCGAGTCTCCCCCGGAGCCGTGCTCTGGCGAGGAGGCGTCTCCTCCGCCATCAGTCGCCCGTGGGCCCGGGTCCCGTGAGGTCAGGCTCCGGCCCGCGCGGCTCTGCTGTCATCTGCCCCCGGAGCTCCTGCACCGTCTGCAGCAGGGCTGATCGCTCCAGCTCCAAGGCAAGGGTGGCCTGCTTCAGCTTGCTTTCACTGGTCAGAAGCTTCTCAACGGTGGCTTCCAGGCTCTGGATCCTACCATTTGCCACCTGGAGAATAAACGAAGAGAATGTGAACAGCCGAGTGAGAACACATAGGGGCGGGTGGGGGGCATTCCCCCCTACACTCCACCGTCCAGCCTTGGAGACACTTTGGAGCCCTACTGTGGCAGAGACAAGCCGGCGTAGCATCAGTTCTTCTGGCCACACAGGAAGACTACATTTCCCAGGCTCCCCCGCAGGAAGGCAGGGACTTCTTCCCTGCTGCGGCTACTCTGAGATGGTTGGTGGCTTCACAGTGCAAAGGGAGCCGGCCCCCGGCCCCGACGACAGGGAAGCCAGCTCTGATCCGGGCCAAGAATGCTTCAAGAACAGGAGGTGGAGCTTCAGGGACAAAGCGACTGCTGCTGGGCCAGGCCACTGAGACTTGGAGCCTTATGTATCACTGCAGCACAGCCTGGCCCAGTCGTACAAACACGCTCGTACGTACAGACCGATGTCAGACCGAGAGGCAGACGGTTCCTCCCCAGGGGAAGGCCCCAGCAGTACCGGGTACTGGCCCTCTGCTCCAGAGGCCTGTCTTCCTACGGTAACCAGGCCCCACCACCTCAAGGAGTACGGGCACCCCCGGGGAGCACGAGCGGGGCTGGGCAGCGTCTGCGAAGGGCCCCCCGCGCACGGTCTCCGCCGCTCCATCTCGCTGATGCGTGCAGCTCTGCACACGTGCCCGCTTATGTGCGGTGGGGCAAATGGTACATGTATTTTTTTCTCTCTCTCATTTTCAAAACACGGGAAACAGGTTCTTGAACAAGACAACACTTGTGCCAGACAGACACCTCACGACTCAAAGTCTAGCTCCGCTGTGCCGGCTGCAACACTCAAAATAGAAGGAAGAAAGGACTGAGCTCCCAAGTCTGCGTGCTCACCAGGCAGGGGCGCTCACGCTGAGTGTGCACCTGCAAGGGGTGCTCTGTGATCCTCACACTCCTACCCAGGCTCAAGGCCTGGGACCGGTCCACCGCCCCCCACGAAGGACTGCTCGTGCCACCCAGCTTCGTGGTGAGTGGCTCTGCAGGACTGTCACTCTCCTCAACGAGACTGAAGCGCTCTCACGGAAAAAGCACGTCTCATCCTGTACACGGGTTGGGCCTCCCGCAGCACCTAGTTCAATGGCACTGGGTGACTCACAGTTGCTTATTATAAAAAATGTATGTCCCTTATTATTTGGCACCATTTGGTAGGTATATGGAATCGTCTTCTATGTGCGGCTGGACAAAACAGGCGACACTTTGCTCTCCAGCTGCTAGATAACATTAAGTGTTTAACCAGAAAATTAATGGGACCTTGGTGCCTGTCTGACAACTAACAGGAACAGAACAAAGCTAGAAAACGGTCAATTTTGATACTTTGGGGAAAACTATTATATTTAACACCTATCCTTGGACTCTGAAAACTGTTAAAAAAAAAAAAAAAAGGAAAGGAGGTGTGAGTCTTACAGAATATATATAGTCTGGCTGCAAGACAGTAAACCCATGTGACTCACGGAGGGAAATGGGAAAACGATCTTCAAGCACCTGCAAACTGACACAACGTAATCCCCGTCCCAAGGCCTGGACAGTAGCAGTGTCTTCCGAACCCCAGCGGCCCTGGCGCCCGGCAAGGCAGGGGCTCCAAATACTGGTGGGTTGGCACAGCTGCAGTCTTGAATGGTCCCTCCGCAAGACCACAGCCGCTCGGTGAAAGAGAGACCATTCCAAGGAGGATGTCAGTCATGACCAATTACCGCTTGGTGCCTTTCTTGAGGAATTTCGAGATCTGAGCAGCTTTTCACAGCCTCTCTCGTCATGAAAGGGGTACAGTATCATAGAAGCGCCATTAAATCACCTGCACCCTTTACCACAAAAAAATCACACGGGCATTAGCCCAATAAACGGAACCTTCCATTTCCATACTGCCTATCTTCATGCGCCAAATGTAAGTCCAAGCTTTGTCAGAAATGTTCCTATCAGGTTCTATTTCAGAGACCTACTTTGTTTGGAAGTCACTTAAAATTACCACCTCCACTGCAGACCGTTACAGGCCAGATAAGGCTCTTTATCCTTGCGAGCCTCCCCTTCGGGGTGCAGCCAAGACATCCTGGAGATACTGTACACAAGCATATTTTCAGTTAGGACACCTCAGTCGTAGGGAAAAAAAAAAAAAGCTAAATTTCAGAATATGCCTGGTGGTTAGGACTGGGCATCAAAAGCATTTTTCTTTGTTCCTCTACAGTAAATAGCCAGTAGGTCTCCTGGGACAAATCCCTGCTGGGAGGAATGCATTTTGGACAAGGTTGATTTATTAAACTCTCAAATGCTGGCCTTTCTCATATCACAGCCAAGCTTGTGTCTGCAAAGCAGCAACTTTCTATGGAGAAAACAAAGATGCATAGGTCAGGATGGAAGGCTTATTCTAAGGACAGCCCAGGAACACCATAAAATACATACTTTGGGGGCAAATATGTATTTGTCTTTGCAGCAACTCAAAAATTTTTTTAAATTCCTCAGAACAATTCCTTAACATTAACAGCATTACCACCCATTCATGACATTAAGAAAGTAGACCGTATCATTACGTTATTCTATGTGATTGGGAAAGGAGCTGTGCTCAGCAGTTAGGAACTGTGTGTCGCACAGACGAGGGACTCAGGACAGGGCAGTTCAGCAGTCTGCCCAGTGCAACAGTGTGGGTGGACACAACGCTGGATCTGACGAGAGCTGCATCCCCAGGCTTACCCCCATGTTACCCTTCTGTATGCACGGTCTGTTTGCATTTCTACCACATGTCCTCATCCACATTTATCCATGTTAAAATGGAAGCTTCTAGAGGGGAGAACTATGTCCCTCATTAATCAAACTTTTGTTATTTGTAGTAAGGACTCAACAATCTTGACCATATGCTCTGGTTTGCTTTGTTAGGTAGATCTCTGTGTTACTCCCTTCCCCTAACATCCCTCCATGGACCTAGCTGGTTTCGCTCACAGAAGCCCAAGCCTTTGATTCTCTCATTATTACTCAAAGCACAATTGCTGGCATTCGGCGAACAGCCCCTAGGCATCCTGGACCCAGTTCATCGCTGGGCCTCTCTCCTAAAAGGGTTAAGTGCAGAGACAGCCTCTCAAAAAGTTCCAGGACCATCTGACCTCAGCAAAGGATAATCTGTCTGCTCCCAAATAAAACGGAGCAGTTCTCCTGGGATACCTTTGATCCCAACTATAAACAGACCAGGGAGAGGGGAGGTGGGGAGAGGTCCCTCAGTCATGGGAAAACCCAGCCTGCCGGTGGTTTGGTGCGCTAATGATCTACCACACGCTCGGGGCTCAGGAAGCAGCTTTATAAATATGCTCTACCTGCAGTTGTTCAAGGAGGTCAAGGTTCTGTTTGCGCAAGCTGCTGTTGGTCTTCTCTAATTTGTCCATTCTTTGGTTGTCACTGAGAGGAGAGGAATCGATAAGTTCTTCTTGAAGCACGTGGTACTCAACTTCATAGGCTTGTAATTGTTTAGAGATATCCATCTCAAACACCTGTTACATACAGAAAAGTCATCAGGCACTGAAAATGAGAAAAATCACACATACGCGTACGCGGCCATGTCAGCAAGCATCCCCTAAGCACCTACTCCGGGCCTGGTACTATCAGGGAGAAATAAGGAAAACTCGCTGCATGGAAAAGGTAACAATTCTACTTGGGAAGAAAGAACAAAAGAAGCATTGAGAACTAAACCCGAGGTAACAATAGGGACGGGTCTCTGATAACTCATTTTCCAAAAGCCCAAACCTTACTTTTTAAAAGGCTTTTTATAAAAATTTATTTTTAGTTCTTATTTCTGTACAGATTTCCTTTTTCTCTGAAAATTCTATTATGTTAGACACATCAGCTGTGGGTCAAAGAGAAAGGAAAAAAACAAAACAACAGAATCACAGCCCTATTTGCCCAGTCACCAAGTCAAAGTTTAATTATAGTTCACTTGGGTTTTTAGAGTTACAAGAACAGCTAAGTAAGGGAACTGTTTACTAAAAAACCCTCATTTGCACATAAGATATGCAGAAATGAGCCAAAACCCAAATGTCGCCCACACAGATGAGTGAACATGAAACAATGCCTTCCTGCTCATAATAGTAACAGTGATCAAAAAACCACCCGCGTGAAAAACAGCCCTGAAGTGCACAAGTGCGTTGTTCGTGTTTGTACTTTCTCTGAGTGAGCTGGGTGGGAGCTGCGCCGAAGAGGGGGTCAGGCGCGGCCGCAGCCTCTCTCTGCAGCTGTTTCTGGGGGATCGCCCCACGGGCTGTGGCTCTGAGCACAGGACTGAAGTCCCAGAGAGGCTCTGCGTGTGGGTCTGAGCCTTCGGTCATGCTGGCTCCGTAGAAACAAGGCCAGCATCACAGAAAACACATTTAGAGGATGAAGTTAGACCTTTCAAGAGCACAAAGGAACTCTTCACGGTCTTTCCTTAAGAAAGAAATTCCAACGTAGTGAAAATCAATGAAAACCTCATTTTCCCCGACGGCGCCCTATTAGCATTCAAACATGGATGAATCCTATCTTCCCTGAAATCGATATTTCAAAAACCATGTTTACTTTCTCACCATTCCCAACAAACTTCTCTGCCTGGAGATTAATTTTTCAGCTTCCTGCTTTTCAATTTAATTCAATGGACAAGACCAATTAGGCACAAAAGTCATTCTATGCCAAAATACTACACATTGTATTGTGGTATGCGTGAGTGTGAAAGTTTGCCATATTGATAGGCAATTCTCTGTTGTCCCTCAAAGTGACTGTGAGGTCAGCAGGGATCATCATCTCTATAGTACAGTCAAGAAAACGGACTCAGCCCTCAAATCAGGGCTCCCCTGGCGACACCCTGAATGACCTTGAGCAAGTTACTTGACTTCTCCCGGCCTCGGTTGCTGGCCCTTGACACGGGGTGAGAGCACGCACCTCCAGCATCGCTGTGAGAATTACGTGAAGCGACTCGTGGGAGTTCCCAGCACACACCTGGCAAGGTGAGTAGGTGCCCACTTAGCTAAGGAAGCTGCTTCCACACGCTTGTCATGAAACCCTCAACATTCAACCTTGCGCTTCAGCAAAATTACAAAGGATGCCACACCATGGAACCTCTGAATAGCTCAAACAGAGCAAAAACCGCAAACATTAAAACCGAGACTGCCATGGCACTGGTGTATAATTATAAATATGATGCAGAATAAATGTATAGTTACTTCTTTTCTTCCATGGAGATTTATTTTTAAATGAGCTACTAATCTGGAAAACCTGGGAACAAAACCTGTGGCCTTTAATACAGATTGATGACCTGCTAAGGTTAATGGCTCTCAGCTGTGCACAAAGCCATGCACTCTTTCAGGGCTCCATTAATTCCCAGGAACCATCCTGGGTCATAATCATCGCTGCTGAATTGCATCATTATCTCCTGGCTGCTAAAATACTTAGAGCCCTTGATTTTGCAGTTATGCCCTAGAATTGATCCCAAAGCATGGAAGTATGTGGCTGGCAGAGAAAGGAGAGCCCAGGTCCTCAAACAAGGCTTTTTCGAGTTGCTGTATATATTCTACATGAGCATAATTACAAATGGCTTCATTATCCTACTTACTCGACATGGCATAACCCTGTTAATCCATTCATCAAGTGCTGGACATCTAGTTACTTGTAAAGTTTCTGTAGTTATAAATGACAACTCTAAACATCCTCGTACATATGGCTTTTCCCATATTTTGGATTATTTCCTACGGATACATTCCAAGAAATGGGATTACTGAGTCAAAGGGTATGAATATTTTACTGGCTTGTGATACACATCGCCAAATTGCCTCCCAAATGGGAATAATGGATGCACAATGCCATTAACAACACACCAATATGCCAGATAGTCTACCCTTGGCACTGGGTACCGGCCTTAATATGTTTCATTTTGTTAATCTAGTAGGTAGAGCATTGTATGTTATTTAAATTATGCATGAAGCTAAATATTTTCCCAGATATTTGTTTACTAGATGGATCTCCTTTTCAGTGAATTGTCTGTTTATGTTCTTGGCTCATTTGCTATTGGAGACCCAGTGAGTTCGTCTTTGCAGTCTGTGGACACTCTATGTAATGAAGCCATTAACCCTGACGTCTGCAGACTTGGCCACATACTTTCCACCTTCCCAGCCTCCAGGCCTTGCCCCCCACCCCCCGCCCCCGTCTGTCCATCTCAGTGAGTTGAGCAGGGTGCCTGGGGATCAGCCACCAGGGGCTACAGTGCCTGTAGTGAATTTAAAAATTAGAAACCCAACTAAAAACTGGTCTGTTTTTTATGATCACCACATGCAAGCAATTCTAAACAATCCCAGTGGTAAGATATTCCTCCTCACTGTTCCCCACCCTTTTGGAACGGCCCTGATTGGCCTCTGGAAAAATCCCTTGTTTTCAGCCCAGCAAGCTGCCCAAAACTGCCTGAGCCGCGAGGGCTCCTCCCCGCGCAGAAGAGGCTGTCCCAACACTGGGGATTTGAGGAGCGGCTCCTGAACAAAGGAACCTTGTTAAGATTCTGGTTTCTATCCTACAAGCTCAACTAGAACAGGGAATTGTCTAGTGTGTTCAATGAAGCTGCCCATAGCAGAGCTTTTCAAATGTTCGTGTGTGTGTGTGTGTGTGTGTGTGTGTGTGTGTGTGAGAGAGTGAATCCCCTGGGGCTCTTGTTAAAATGCAGATTCTGACTCAGCAGGCCTGTGTGTGTGTGTGTGTGTGTGTGTGTGAGAGTGAGTGAATCCCCTGGGGCTCTTGTTAAAATGCAGATTCTGACTCAGCAGGCCTGGGGCAAGGCCCCAGATTCTGCATTTCTGACAAGTTCCTACAGGGTACAAGGACAGGTGCGGGTCTGGGGCCACACTCTGAATTCCGCCCCAAGGATGTTGACAACCGGCTCTTTGCCCTGTCTCCCAAAGTCCCCTCCACCTTTGTTTCCTTCCTTACACTGAAATGAGCCGGCAGACGCAGACAGCACTGGCTGTGACAAGCACAAACCTGACCTCCTCCTCTTGGTTTCTGTTTATTCCCAGGGTTTCCCCGTTGTTGGGTCAGAGGATTTTTATGGCTCATAATCAACTGACAATTAAACTGAGGACCTGCCACAGAGACTTCAGAGACCCTTCTCCTTCTGCCCTGGGCTCTGTCAACTCTGGACCTGCCCATACTGAACCAAAGCCGCGGAGCCCTATCCTATCTCCCTCTCCCTTCCTGGATGCAGGCTATGTCCCCACTGCTCAAGCTGAGGCCATCCACAGAAAAGTCAGCGAATGAAATGGAGCCATAACGATCACAGAAGCCCACCGAGACTTTCACATACAAGACAGTATGCTCTGTCGGGTGCAGTGGATGCTCTGTCACTTGCACCCTGTGGACCTCCAAGACTTGAGCCTGGGGGCCCTCTCAGGCTGCCAAGGAGTCGCACTGTACCTCAGGCCTCATCTCCTAGTGGGACTTGAAACTAGAGCACCCTCTAGGTGGGGAGGGGGCAGTGAGCCTGACAGATGTCAAGTTCCAGATGGAAAGCATGGGAGGGCAAGAGGGTAGACAGCTGGGCTTCCCATCAAGACTCTTGGTAGGATGAAAACCTGGGCCCCAAAATGTAGATTTTTGTGTTCCCCACACTGCTGCTCCCAATCCACAACCACCCTTCCCTTCAAAGTTCAATGCTAAGGCATCTAGAATTTCTCTCAATTCTCACTCCCATGCCTGTGATTAGGAATCAGCAGAGTGCCCCCTGTGGACTGAATCTGACCCACTGTATGTTTTTGTAAATAAAATTTTACTGCAACACAGTCATTTCATTCATGTACGTATTACTGGTCGCCCTTTGGCTGCAAAGGCAGAGTAGAGTGACTACAACAGAGACCTTGTGGCCCACAGAGCCTGAAAGACTTATTATCTGGCCCACTGCAGAAAACGTCTGCTGACCCGTTCTTAGCTCATTCCTCAGGCCCAGCTGAATTCAACTGTCCCAATTCCCAATCAGCAGTGCGCACTCCACCAGCCTGGCTCCCATAGGCCCTTGCATGGGCACCACTGTGGCTCTTACCACATTTGGAATTACTGGATTCCATGCTCATTCTCTGCACAGGAGGGGCTCCAGTGTCAGAGACACATTGCATTCTTGGCTCTGCCATCGCACACAGGGTGTTGGGCATGTTACTCTATCCATGACCAGTTTCCCCACCTATAAAAATGGGGATTATAATACACATCCCAGGATTTTAAGGAGTCAGTGGAATAAAGGATCCCAAGCTCAAGACAGTTGCCTGAAACAAATCAGGTGCACACACACAAAACTCTCTCCATGCTGTGTCCATTTCTATTCCTCCAACATTTAAAGAGAACCTGATACTGTGAATAAGTATTCTTCACAGAAAAGGGAGGAGAAAATGGGATTCTTTTCTGGGGCTCAATATCCAGGAGGTAAACTGAATGTCAGGTGAGATTGCCCACCTTAGAGCCAGGAGCCAGGTCGAGGCACCCCCCGGGCACAGACGTGAGGTAACCAAGGCTCTCTGCGTTTGCCCCAGGGGCCATAAAATATAAGTATATGCAGTGAAAGCTCTAAAAGGGCATCAGTGCACATAAATGCCAAAAATTAAAGAATCAAAAGGGCAGAGAATTCAGTATTAACATACAGGTAAAATATAGAAAAACCTTTGTAATTAAATGATGCCCGGAGGCGCGTGGTGGTGTTGAGAAGCTGCTAAGTCACTCTGAGGCAAGAGAAGCCCCACCTCTCCCCTCGGCAGCAGGGTGACCGAGGGCCAGCGAGTTTGCCTCTTTGCGCCCTATGCTCCTCATGGGTTAAAACCACCTATCCTCTCAGGAATGCGGTCATGATGAAATGAGATCCTGTGCATATGTAGATTCACACAGAACCTGGCAGAAAGTAGGGCCTGAACAAGCCAAAGCTATTCACATTGAGAGAAACGTGCCAGGGAAGCAAAATACAGAGAGATGCATCAATTCACTAAAAATGAAAGTGCAGAGTGGAAAAGCAGTGCCCTTTCGAAGGACGGGCGTAGGAAATGTGCGGAGATCCAGAGTCACCCGGGCTCACACCGGCTCCCCTCCCCAGGCCACATCTGCTTCTTTCTCTGTGCTCCACACTGAAGGAGGGGTAGCAAATAAAACCAGAAACACCGCATCTGGGTGCAGTCCGCCAGAATCACTGGATTCCTGTTGGACTGTCAGAAGTCCTCAGAATAAGGGTTTGTTTAAAAATTAGCTCTGTTTCACTACTAGTTTTTACCTAACTGCTCTATGCTTGCATTGCACTGGGAGCAGGTGAGGTAAATTCTAGGCTTAGGAGGGGCCTGATTGCTGGTCCCGATGCAGAAATCCCTTCCAGAGCATTCTCAGCCATCCAGCCCCTGGACACTTGCAGTGGTGATCCACCCTCTACTAAATAAATAGCTCAGTCCTTCAGAGTCAGCAAACATTACTAGAAGACTCTTCTTTATACAGAGTCAAAATCTGCTCTCACCCCTAAACCAGACCATTGAACAACTGATCTAGTTGTAATTCTGGCTCAATTCACCCTTGCCCCTAACATTTGAGAGAAACAGTTCTACTGGCTACAGAAACCAGAGGTGCTCAAGCCACAGATGTGGAACTGAATTCTATTAAAAAAAACAAAAACAAAACACATCATGAAACAAATCTCTAGAATATATACTATCATGATTTTGCTATCAAAGGGTTATTTTTAGAAAATTCCAAATAATAGCACATAGCAGAAAAAATACCAAAGCACTCCTACTGTAAGAGCCTACACTGAATAGCACATGTGTTTCAGAAGAACAAACAACTAGGGTGAAGCCCCTTAACTATAAGCAACTACCGATAACCTGTGCTGGTTGTCAGCACTGACCACTGCCCCCTTGTTCACACGTGACACAGCCCCATCACATTCCCAACATACGCGCGCTCGGACATGCACTTAAGTCACTGAACATGTATTTGGCCATATGCTTCCTACCTGCCGGGCAACACACGAGATGCTGCCCACGATACCAAGTGGTAGGAGGCAGGTCCCGATCAAAAGAAAATTAAGCTCTCCAAATCCAGGAGGGCGTAAGCCTTTGGAAGGTCGGACTGAAGCATACCTGACTGATGGTCTTTTCCATTTGCACCAAGCCCAGGTTGGGAAGGGTGTTTTTTATAAAGTCAACTATGGTTTCTAGGTTTTCATGTTGCAGAATCAAGGGCTTATGGCTTCCCAACAGACTTAATGCCACTTTAAATATGACCTCTGATCCCTGAAGAAAGATCATATCTGGGAAAACACAGAAATGCAGAAAGTTAAACCAGACCAGTTTCCGATGAAGTAACATTGCGTTTTCTTGTCCACACATCAGAGCAGGATGGTGGGGAACTGTAAGCCCAAACTGCAAACTTTATTTCCTTTTTAAGTGCCTGATATTTCAGATAAGGTTGTCAAGACAATATTGCAAATAGTAAAAGAAATACAGATAAACGTACTGCTAAGCTATTGTCACAGGTTCAATCTTTGTTATTGTTCTAAAAATATATTAAACTCTTAACATGCTTCAAAAGTTAAAAGAAAACTTTTTATTACACTATTTTTCTAGAAATGCTCTGGGGTTTTAAAAGAGTTCCTAAAACACATTTTTATGAGTAAAACTGAAAGATGTTTAGATACACAGCATCAGAAATTAAGATAAAAAAACTGCACCTCTTTCCCGTTTTGAAAGAAGGAACTAAAAGATCTCTAAAATCTATAAAATGTCTGCAGAGTTGCAAAAGTACATTATTAAATACTTGCCAGTATGCTGGATTTTAGCATAATGCAGTAAAAACCATCTTCCTTCAGAGAAATAAAAAGAACTCCGTCAGAGTTATTTTCTAGTTCTTGCCATAGTTTTTTCTTCCAACAGTTGGCCAATGTTAGCAACCCCTACACTGACTGGACGTGCTGAGAGGGAGGGCAAGTGGCCCAGGCAACGGGGTGAGCAGCCAGCCTCGCCCCTGGCTCCCCCTTCCTCACAGAGCTGAAGCCACTTGACAAAGAGTCAAATCGCCGTGGGGCCAAAGCACACCCCTAGCAACTAATTGTTTGATGACTAAATTCAGGCAAGTAACCTAACTGGAATTAAAAATACAAGAAAAAAATATCATTTTAAAGATGAGGGCATAAATCTAATTAGAGGCAACTGTCAATATGGGGGCTGGGGGGCTGCAGGGATAATGAGAAACACAAAGTAGTGGTCCAGTTCATCAAGTTCTGGAAGACAAAAGCAGGTGAGAGGAAGAATCCCCCCAGCATTGGACTTCTCTAGGTGGTTTAGCGTGACAAGGCAGAGGAGCCATCAAGAAACAGGAAAGGCTCGGGGCACCTGGGTGGCTCAGTTGTTAAGCGTCTGCCTTCGGCTCAGGTCGTGATCCCAGGGTCCCGGGATCAAGCCCTGCATCGGGCTCCCTGCTCGGTGGGAAGCCTGCTTCTCCCTCTCCCACTCCCCCTGCTTGTGTTCCCTCTCTCGCTGTGTCTCTCTAGGTCAAATAAATAAATAAAATCTTTAAAAAAAAGAAAGAAAGAAAGAAAAGAAGCAAGAAAGGCTGGAAGCTGCTAACATGGGGAAGGGGAAGGTGTCCGCGTCAGAGTGGTTTGTGGGCTGCGCACAGGGCAGGCCTCGGCGCCGACCGGCCGGGTCAGCCCTGGGGATGCTCAGGGCCTCAGCCACACCGGCAGACCTGGTGCCAGGGTGGGTTGTCGACCCATCTCTCTCACAGAGCTCAGGGCCACACTGTTTCCACAAACGTCACAAGTGCTCACAGTTCGGACGGCCCCACGAAGCTGGAAAGGCCCCAGGAAGCTGAAAAGAGGAGGGCGGCCTCCTTCTTAGGTGTGGCTGCAGAGGCTGGGAAGATAAGTTAGAGAACTAGTCGTATCTTTGTAATCTGAGCTTCGGGGAAGTACTATGTGTATCAAGACAGCCCTCTATAAGAATATTCTTGTGAAATGTCTGTTTTATGAAATACACAGTCTAACCCACGTAATTCATCACTACAGAAAATACAAAAGATCTCAAACAGCACTATAACAAAGATGTGTTTTTAAAAAGAAGTATTTCCCAAAACAAACTTGAAGCTTCTGGGTTTAGACAGCAAGACTTCCTTTCAGTAGATCAACTTTTATAGCTGAACAAATATAGATGGTATCAATCAGAATACCAAGCCTTCTGTGCAAGGGTCCTGGGAGAGGACTTCAAGACCAGCCCAACTGCGACAGCTCAGTGTCTTTAGTCTCTGAGAGACATGTACTAGTAACTAGACAGAGTGCCACATCTAAGCCAAGTAAGAGAAATAATTATTGGGGAAGTTTTATGAGCACAATCAAATATGCAATCCATAACAGCAATCTCTTTTTTTTTTTTTTTTAAAGATTTTATTTATTTATTTGAGAGAGAGAGAATGAGAGACAGAGAGCATGAGAGGGAGGAGGGTCAGAGGGAGAAGCAGACTCCCCGCCGAGCAGGGAGCCCGATGCGGGACTCGATCCCGGGACTCCGGGATCATGACCTGAGCCGAAGGCAGTCGCTTAACCAACTGAGCCACCCAGGCACCCTCTTTTTTTTTTTTTTTTAAAGATTTTATTTATTTATTTGAGAGAGAGAGAGAGAGAGAGAATGAGAGACAGAGAGCACGAGAGGGAAGAGGGCAGGGGGGGGAAGCAGACCCCCCGCCGAGCAGGGAGCCCGATGCGGGACTCGATCCCGGGACTCCAGGATCATGACCTGAGCCGAAGGCAGTCGCTTAACCAACTGAGCCACCCAGGCGCCCCGTATCAGCAATCTCTTAAGGCAGACAACAGGTCTTTCACGTTTTATTGGTGGTTTTGTTGTTGTTGCTGTTGTTTTAGAGAGGGGGGTAGGAGGGGCAGAGGGAGGGAGAATCTTACTTAAGCAGGCTCCACACCCAGCATGAAGCCAGACATGGGCTCCATCTCACAACCCTGAGATCACGACCTGAGCTGACATCAAGAGTCGAACGCTTAACTGACTGAGCCACCCAGATGCCCCAGGATCTTGGTTTTTGTAACAAATCTACTAGCGGAGTGCTCCCTAGCATTCTAAACTCTGACTTTTCTGGGCCGTATGAAAAAAAAAAAAAAAAGTTGGGAGAGGTGGTGGGGTCTTTTTTGTTTTTGTTTTTATACTCTTTGAAAATATAGCCCTGGATATATTTGTCTCATTGGTTCTGTCTGTATTTAATATAATACAAATGTTCTTTCCTAATGCTATTCCCAGCACCTTAAGAGCACTCTTCTATCTGCTGAGAAGTGTCTCTCATTTAAGTCAGCAAGCATTCACTGAGCATCTAATATATGCCAGGCTTTGTACTAGGTACCAGAGATCAAGCCATGAACGAAAGCACAAACAGCAAATTGCAGAGACACCAAAAGCTGTTGGTTTGGTAGAGTTAGGCCCAGGTGTTACGAGAACAAAAGGGATGGAAAAAATTCTAAGGAAAGGTGGCTGCCAAACCCAATCTTGAAGAAGCAAAAGAAACTTGCGAGGTCAGGAGTTAGGAAGGAAAGAGGGGGAAAAGGAGGTGTAAATGCCCCGAGGGGTGAGAGCAGCAAGCCCCGGACTAGAAGCCCAGCCACTGGCTCTGTGGGGCAGCAGGTGGGGGCGGGTCATCAAGGGCTTTCCGTCCAGACATCAGCATTCTAACTTTACCCAGAGCACAGCAGGGGTCAGCCAAGACTTCCTGTCCCCTTTTTTCCGGAGTAGGTCAGTGCGCTGGTAAGGAGATGATATTAACGAGACCCAGTCGGAGTCTGCTCCTTGCCAAGGCTATTTAGCTTTAGACAGAGAAAAGCCACCACAGATGAGACCACCTGACTCCCCCCCGCAGACTCAGGGGGTCCTGCTGCCGGCCACAAGATGCTCGCCTAGAGCTGCTGGAGGCCCACTCCAGGTGCCTACCCTCCTGAAGGCAAGCCGGCCGGCCACAAGAGTCCGGCTGGGGGAGCTGGGTCCCAGAAGCCAGTCAGCCTGGGGAGGCCTCAAATAAGGAGCTCATTTCGGGTAATGATGAAGGAATGTGCCAGAAAGCTTAAAGGAAGGACCTCCCCCACCCCCCTGCCCGCCAAAATTTTGCTTGGAAGCAGGGACTCCTGAATTTATCTGACCAGCCTTGGGGGCAATATCTATAACCCTTAAACAATGACTACCTTTTTCTCACTCTGGAAATTTAAAAACTTAAATAATTAAGGAATTGCAGAGAAAAATGTTACCTATAAACTCACTGCTCCAACCCAATTATTTTCATTTTTGTCCATCTTCCAATCCTTATACATTTACATTCTGGAAATAAATGGCGGCCCCCAGAAGCCCTGCTCCCCACACTGCAGCCAACTTCCCTTCCCTCCTGCTTCAAGCCACCCAGAAACAGGCAAAGGGTTTTATCAGGCAGGAAGTAAGGGGAACCTGAAATTCAGCTGACTCGGCCACTTTTGCAAATTATTTGCTGAGAACAATGCAAATAACCACTTTCCTTTGAAGACACTTCGGCAGCCCTGTTGTTCTGTTATTGTGTTAACCTATCGGAACTCTGCTGGAAATGCCCATGACCTAAAGGTGCAGTTTTCCTGGGGGGGTGGGGAACGGGACTGTAGGTGGGGGGCGGGGGACCATCTATGCAAAGCACAAGGCCAGTGAAATGAAATTATCCTGCATCCTCTTTTCCAGCCACCTTTGTCGCTTTCCAAGGGCAAGCCCTCTCCTAACTCTCTCCTGGGAGGCTGGGGTGCTCTGGGTGTGAGAGCGCCCCCTTCCTACCAGGACCAGGTGGGAGGAACATGAAGGATGCTCGAAGATCTGCAGCAGGACCACAGCACAAACAGGGCTTGCACAAACTCACTTCCCTGCCACTGGATCACGTTCCCCGGGGGAGCCTTTTTTTCCTGGCTGTTTAAACCATCTTGTTTTCTCAAGTCTATTTTAGTCCTAAAGCCTCTCTGAATCCTTCCCGGTATTACAGGTGGCTTCTGTGTTTTCTGCCAAACCCTTCCTTTCTACACTCCACCTCCTCCCTCATCCACTTGGCAGCACATCCTCTAGCACACATCAGGAGCCTCAGACCACAGCCGCCTCCTCCATCAGGAACAAGCCAGGGCCTATTTTTCAGATTTTTTTTTCCCCCAAAGGTAGGTGTGATCTGAAGGTGAACAGAGCAAGCATCTCTCCCAGGACCCCTCTCCACCCGAACTGAAGACATACAGGAGAAGGCTATTTTACATCCTGTGACACCCGAACAGGAGGGCTGATATTCCGGAAGTGTGATCACCATGGGAAGGTTAAGGCACAAGCATCACTGGCTGGTGTTCCTCCAAGGAGCATATACTTAATGCGAAGTAACCTGTTAATTAATATATGAGTTATGCTGTCTGCAAGCTGAGAATCCTGCACTTCCATACGAAATGGTGAACAGCTGACAAAGGTCCGTTTGTTTTTAGGGTTTATTCAGGCCTAAAGGCTTACAATGAAATGGGCTTCAGGCCCAAACAGACTACAGTGTATGAATGGCAGGTTTGGGGATTTAAAACTAAGCTATCCACCATCATGGAGCTTAACAAACACAGTTCAAGTCACCAATGCTAAATGCAGAAATGGTTTTTAAAAAACCTTTCTATGGAACCTGCTAATAAAATGGTTTGGTTTTAAGTCCTCGCAGATGGAATAAACTGTGCAGAAAAACAAAAACCAACAGTTTTTGCAAAATGACATCACACACAGTGCTGCCTTGAGTTCCCACTTCCTGCCTACAATCTGAGGAGTCTCAGCCAGCTGGATAAGGACCCACTTAGTACAGCAGGGGTCTGTGCACAGGACCCAGGAGTTACACACACTGGCATCTTTATGCACAATGTAGGAGAGCCTCCAAGACTCACCACTGATTACATAATAGAAATAGCCTGCTCTTGCTGGCTTTAGCTTTTAATTTATGAAGTCGGCAGAATGAGCTTTAGAGTTTCGAATATTCTCTAACAGGAGGGCTGTCAATCTCCAAAGCAGAGTTCTTACTTATGCAACTCTCCCAGAGTTCTAGGGCCCTGGTGTCCCCAGAGCGACCTGCAAGGCAGCAGCCAAAGGCCCAGGCGGCCATCCCTCAGTGCTGACCCTCTCATTGGAGTCCCCTTTGCAGAATTTTTCTCACAAATGCTGTAATTCGATGCTTGAGCTGTTTTCAAAGCATGAACACCAACCGCCCCCCCTTCCCACCCACCTCTTTCAATCCTCACTCCTGTTACCCTGTTTTGAAAAATACAGTAAAAAATCAGGAGAAAAAGTGGACTAATGATTTTCAATTTCCAGAGTAAGAAAAGTAAAAAAAACACAGACATTTTTGGCAAGAAAGACTTCTAGCCGACAGCTAGAGATCTTATGATTTTGGTGACTCTTTTGTTAGTAAACTAAGCAGATAATTTTCAGGCTTTTAATTATCTTTTTTTTTAATATTTGTTTAAAGATTTTATTTACTTGAGAGAGCGAGAGCACAAACAGGGGGAGGGGCAGAGGAAGTGGGAGAAGCAGGCTCCCCGCTGAGCAGGCAGCTCCATCCCAGGACCCTGGAATCATGACCTGAGCCGAAGGCAGATGCTTAACCAAGTGAGCCACCCAGGCGCCCCAATTATCTTCTTTTTAAACTATGGTATAAAACCTTCATGAAATCTCACTAATGATTTATTTAACCAGGAAAGATTTTTTTAGTATCTTTTTCCAATGCTTTTTTTTTTAAGGGACAGAAAGTAAGAATCAGTTTGGGGAGGGAGTTATGCAAAAAGGGGTGGGGGTAGTGAATATTTTAAGAACACGGACTCTTCTAGTAAAGCCCAACAGGACATTCTTTTTTTTTTTTTTTTAAAGATTTTATTTATTTATTTGAGAGAGAGAATGAGAGACAGAGAGCATGAGAGGGAGGAGGGTCAGAGGGAGAAGCAGACTCCCTGCTGAGCAGGGAGCCCGATGCGGGACTCGATCCCGGGACTCCAGGATCATGACCTGAGCCGAAGGCAGTTGCTCAACCAACTGAGCCACCCAGGCGCCCCCAACAGGACATTCTTTAGAAGTTCTTGCAGATAGGAATAAGAATAAAAAATTTGTACTCTGGGGGAAAGAGGTGCGAAGACCAACTCAGTGCCCACCTATGTTAAAAAGCAAATTTCAGGATTTCTAAAATTTGGATCTACAAAGCTGTCTTTCCCAAGCATGCCAAAGGAATGCTCTCTCAATGGTTCTGGACACCCCCTCCCCCTTTGAGATGTTCTCTAATTCCAGAAGCAAATCTAAAAAAGTATGAGAAGGTTGCAGATTTTTAAACTATCAGGTGAGTGAACATCAGTGACACTTTAAAAACACTCGATGGGTGATGATTATCAATTTTTTAATAACTTCCATAGTAAAAAAAAAAAAAAAAAATTAAAAAGAATCTGAATTGTCAACATGATTCTTTCACTCTGATGTAGGGAAACCCACTGTGGGAGAACTACCTGTGCTCCTGGCATCACTCGGCTCCTGGAGCTCAAGTGTACCTGCTTCCCCCGCCATCTCAAGGCCACTGAGACTGCACGTGAACACCCACTTGACTTTGACAATCTTCTCCAAAAGTAAATCAAGAAAGTAGGAGATGGCGTGAAATGTGAGCCCCCACATGGAAGGGGCTGAGGCGTCTGGGAAGACGAGGCGGGGGCCTGTGAGGGTGGACCAGTGAGTGAGTCATCAGCATGGAGGGGGTCCTTGCAGACTGAGCTGGCAGAGGAAATGAAGAGCCAAGGGCAGGAGAAGAAGATAAACGGGAAGAGATGTGAAGGGAATCGAGAAAAAACAGGAGCCCAGAAGTCATCAGTTGAAGTTTGAAGGAGCCATCACATCAGAGAGGTGGAAGAAGACAATTCATGAGACATACATGCCTGGAATACATGCATGGGGCCCCCTGGCCAACTCTTTAAAGATCTCTGCCCTGGGGAGAGCCTGGTGGTGAGGGATTGGGTCTAAACCCCACCAGATGACAGTGTCCAGGGAAGCCATTGAGAATCAGAGAAAGTGAAGTTCACAAAACCCAATGCCAACTAGACTCCGAATGTCAAACACCACCCTGTTCTTGTCGAAGATACAGGTATAAAAGTAAGGATGCTCACCAGGGAACGAGAATACATGTTTCCTACCTGACAGGAGAAAGCTGGTTTGGGCAAACGGATGGACACCCACTTACCAAAGACTCTGGCTACAAATCCCAGTGGGAACTGGGAGGCAAACACGGTGAGAAACCAGGGCGCGGCGTAGAGGCTGGGGCCGATTTCGTGCTCCTCGAGGTGATTGTAGAGGTCTCTGTGGTAATCGTGAAGAAGCCTTGAGAGCTGGTACATCTGGATCTGCGGGGACAGACACACACACAGTGTCAGAACCAGATACCTGCTACTGTGTTCAGTTACTTATCCCGTTCACAGGCTGTGAGAGAAGAATTATTACACTGTTAGATATTCTGTTGGGAGTGTGATAACCACTGATCTCAACCGCTCACTTGCCCATCGAGCACTTGCTGGGGGCCTGGTGCAGAGGAGGTTCTGGCCAGGGGGAGCCCAGAACAAGGATGTCGGGTCGTCTCCTACCGCTTCCTTTCTTTCTACTGCTCCCTGAGTTCCTTGGCTACTAGAATCTAAACATCTGTCTTGTGGGAACGTTTCACATATTCTCTTAGAAAATACACATCCCTATCAAAACCTGCACCTGGGGGAATTCAAAATGTAAGAGTGAAGTGGGGGCATAAGATGATTCTGTGGAAGGATTCTATTACACCTATTCACTTAGTAAATTTGCTCTAGAACCCCCGAAATTACTCAACAGGCAGGACAGGTTCTTTAGGTTTATTAATATATGAAATATACAGATCCTGGCCAAGTTAAAATAAGAAGACAACTGTTTATCTCAAGATGCAGAAAATAACTTCCAAAGGCTCCCCTTTTCAGATAATGCTATGGTCCTGGCAGGAAGCCTGTGATGGGTCCCACAGCTCGCAGGGGTCCTAGAGTCAGCCTGGGTTTCGGCAATCCGATGGCCTGAGCCCAAAGGTACCACCATCTAGAGAGGGTCAGAACCCCATTGAGATGCTACAGGTTGGACATGTATCACCCAAACTGACAAAAAACAAAACAACACACACACACACACCCAAAACTTTTTCCAGTGGCCCAGACAACATAGCCCTTAAGTACCAGCTGTGGCTTTTTAGGATCGAAAAGAATCTAGTCACCCAGGCCAAAAGCGCCAAGAGAGTCATGTGTTACAATACGAAATTAACTTGAAAATTCCACTCTCTTCGATGGCAGGTGCACCTATATTAAAGCTAATGGGGAGAACATAGAAACAACCTGGGACAATATCTGTGGGAAGTGTTACATGGGTCAAAATTTTTTAGTTAATGAAATGGCTTCCTTTTAGGAGATTTATGTTCATGGGGGGGGCGGTTCATATTCACAGGTGGAGGTAAAAGGATTTTTTAACCACCCAATTTGGTGCTCTCAAAGAGTCCTTGGCTCTAATGCATCCTTTCTTAAAAAAAAAAAAAAAAAAAAAATCTCCTAAGGCTCTGAAGTCAGAGTAGCTTGCTGGTAAATTAACATGTATCCACACGATCTGACATTTAGGAATATTCCCAAAGCGGGATCCGGAGC